AGCTCAGCAAGGCTAGTGCTGAGGTGTAGACAAGCTACAGGTTGCCAGGAGCTTCTTCCCTCGTCCCTGGAGCTACAGCTGAGCTATGAGCCCTTCCCCCAGCTTTTCCATAGCTCACCAGCAGCTCTGGAGAAGCTGGGATTGTTCACCTGTAGCTTGCCTGTAGTTGCCTTCATTCTGACGGCTAAGCGATGGGCTTGTGACCAGCCAGAAGGCTACCAGGAGCTTCTCCCGCTATTCCCAGACCTCCAGCTTGAAAAGAACCCCCCCCTAGCTTCTCCCTAGCTAAACACTGGATTTTAGAGACTCCCCGGCTAGGCTCTGTAGCTCGTCTAGATATCTAATATGAGCACAGCTCAGAAAGGGTAGCCCTGAGCTGTAGACAAGCTACAGGTTGCCGGGAGCTTCTCCACTCATCCCTGAAGCTACAGCTGAGCTGTGAGCCCCCCCGGCTTCTCCCTAGCTCACCCGCAGCTATGGAGAAGCTAGGATTGCTCACGTACCTCGCCTTTAGCTGCCTTCAATCTGAAGGCTAAGCGATGGGGTTGTGACCAGCTAGAAGGCTGCCGGGAGCTTCTCCCACTGTTCCCAGAGCTACAGCTTGAAAAGAAAACCTCCCTAGCTTTTCCTTAGGTGAACACTGCGTTTTAGAGACTCCCCGACTAGGCTCTGTAGCTTGTCTAGAGATCTAATATGAGCACAGCTCAGCAAGGCTAGCCATGGGCAGTAGACAAGCTAGAGGTTCCCGGGAGCTTTTACCCTCGTCCCTAAAGCTACAGCTGAGCTGAGAGCCCCCCGGCTTTTCCATAGCTCACCAGCAGCTTTGGAAAAGCTAGGACTGCTCACATACCTCGCCTGTAGCTGCCTTCATTCTGAATGCTATGCAATGGGGTTGTGACCAGCTAGAAGGCTACCAGGAGCTGCTCCCGCTGTTCCCAGAGCTACAGCTGGAAATGAAACCCTCCCTAGCTTCTCCCTGAACACTGGGTTTTACTGACTTTCCAGCTGTGCTCTGTGCCTTGTCTAGAGACCTAAAACGAGCACAGCTCAGGATGGCTGGCACTCAGCTGTAGACAAGCCACAGGTTGCAAGGAGCTTCTCCCCTCACCCCTGGAGCTATAGCTGAGCTGTGAGCCCCCCCGGCTTCTCCCTAGCTAGCCAGCAGCTCTGGAGAAGCTAGGACTGCTCACATACCTCGCCTCTAGCTGCCTTCATTCTGAAGGCTATGCAATGGGGTTGTGACCAGCTAGAAGGCTGCCAAGAGCGTCTCCTACTTTTCCCAGAGCTATAGTTTGGGAATAAGCCTTCCGTAGCTTCTCCCTTGCTGGTTCCTGGGTTTTAGAGAACCTCTGGTTGCTCTCCTTGCCCTGGCTATATCTGCTCAGCAACAAACCCTCTGGGATTCCCCTAGCTGTAGCATCCCAGCAATTTGCTTTATGCTTAGTTTTCTATAAGCTAAGGGAATGCCGGTTGCATATACCCTGGTTCCTTAAGTCACAGCTTGGCCGGGAGGTCTCTAGCTCTTTCGTAGCCAAGCACTGGCTACAGAAAAAGCTTCCTTGCTGATCGAGCTCGGCTGTGGCTCTTTCAGATCTGAATAGTTTTCAGGTCCCATGTCTGAGCAGCAAGCTTCGGACAAGCCGGGGAGATGCCTGCTTTGTTGTTCCTGCCAGCTCTCTCTAGCAGAAAGCGTGGCTTTGGAGAAGCTCAGCCTTCTCTTCAACCCACAGCTATCGCCGTGATAGATCTGAAAGGTTGGCATGCGTCCCCGCTTTTCACAGAGCTTGGCTGCATGGTTCTCCACTGGCAGTGAGCCTAAAATTTGTCCCTATCCGAGTGCTGGCTATGGAGTGGTTACAGCGGCTCACGGACCTCAGCTGTAGCTGTAACAGATCCAAATGGTGTGCAGGATCCAGAGCTGAGCCGTGGGCTTCTAACCAGCTGGGGAAAACTGGATTCTTTCCCCTTTCTTCTTAAAGCTATAGCACGGCACTGAGACCCCCAACTTTTTCCCGAATAGCAAGCTTGGCTTTGGAGGGACCTGATCCACTTCTCAGCCTTAGCTAGGGCAGATCTGAAAGTTCTGTGCACATTTCAGCTCTACACTAGGCTTCAGATAAGCTATGGCAACACAGGAGCCTCCATGCCATTACTGATCTGACCTGAGCATTAAGGATGTTTAGGATCTCAAACAAGGTGGTGAACACCTTGTCAAGCTGAGATGGCAGATGAGTCTAGCTCACCAGTTGGGCACCCTAGATTTGGTGAAGAGGTTCCATGCCATCATGTGGCATGAATTTCTGGAATGCTTGGGGCATTCCAGTTGGTTGGAAGTGGTGACTGGCAATCACTGATACTTCAGTTCCATGATCCTATCTGTCCGTTTGTCCATCTGTCTATCTCTCTGCCTCTCCTAAAGGACTCCATACTCATACTATTAATCACATTTATAACTAATAGGAATTAAGAATGGATAAAATATATTTAAATTCATTAACTAATAAGCAACGATGGTCCAAAATTAATTAATGAATATGCAACAATGAAACAAAATAGTTTGACATCATAAAATTCCTTGCCCTGCCGAATAAGAATTCAGAGAAATTCAGAAGAATTCCTCTTTTGAATCAAAATAACCGCCTACTGTCTATCTGTACCAACCAGCCAACCAACCAACCAATCAATCCGATAAATTACAAAGCCAGACAGAAGTTTCAATCGGAAGAAAGTACTGCTCAAAGATAAAAATCTATTAAAAACCTAATTGTATGGTATAAAAAAGATTAGAAAAGGTAGTTAAAATGTAAAATAATTTATGATATTTGCCCGCTTAGTTAAGAAAACAATAAAAATTGATGCCCGGATTATTCAGGAAAAAAGGAAAAAGAAGAAAAAAAGGAAGAAACCAGTAGCATATTAAAGTTTGCTGCCACCAATTCATTGTCATCTTAATTCACAAAAATAGCAAATAATAATATACATGGCTAAAAAGTGGCTGTATAATTTCATACCACATGTTCAAGAAGCATAAAAAGAATCATTTCTAAATTCTAAATAGTTATACAGCATCGACAGGCACATTAAAAGAATTGATAGAGAAATAAATCAGATAATCTTTTTCTTACCATTTAAATGTATGATTTCTTGATGTCAAAATCTACACAAACCTCTAAGACTGCAGAATCAATTGTCCGGAGGACAGAAATAATATTTCTTTCTTCAAACCAAAACTTGATTAATCCAGGTTTGTGTTTTTTTGGTGCAGGATGAAAAACAGAAATCTGACAAAGGCAGGTGTTACTTGTTGTTTTTGAAACCCTAAGGCTATTTTTTGACATGTGAAACCACTCAAGATACAATAAAAACGGTCAGATGGAACACATGAGCTTAAAATAAACCGAAACCAAGAAACGAATCTGTAGCCACCTGTTGTCTGAATTCCCCTGAAAAGCTCCTATTTTCTGATCGGTCTTTCTATTTTTAGTAAAATGAACAACATCCCCACCACCACCTTTCATAGATCTTTTATAATCATTTTTGATAGCATTTTAATTAACAATAATTAACTCAACTTTATTTGAGGCGATTCAGGAAGAAAATGTTGTCCCCTAAAGGTTTAATCTAAGCTACAAAATCTTTAGAGTCTTAATTTAATAAGTTTCCTCCCTAAAGTAAAAAACCTGAAAAAATGCAGGATCTCATAAACCAATAAAATGAATCAGATAAACTGTCAAATTAAAAATATATAGAGAGATTAAAGACAATTTAAATTTACTGTGACATGAATTTTAGGGGGAAAAAACTGTTTTACCTAACAGATATGAAGTACTTTGCAGTAGGGTCTGCCTTATGAAAGGTTATTCCAAAATACTTTGTGACATTTTAAGACAATTAGTTGGATCCGTATACGGTCATATTTCACACAGACCCACTGAAATCAGCACAAACAAATCCCATTGATTTCAATGACCTTAAATCTGACTAAATCCAACCCTTTGTTCTTGGCACTACATAGCCAATTTTCTGGTAGATGAATAATTAGACACATACCTCTAATATGGAAAGATAAATATCAAGTTGGATAAAAATAATTGAAGGAAGAAAAAAATATAAGTGAGGGAGAAAGAGATGACTGAGAAAGACAAACAGATGATAGAAAGACAGCTTCGTGTTTTTGTGAACTATTGGTTAGTTATCAAAAAGGTTCAAATTCTACATTTAAACTTTTGATTCACCAAGAAAGAGGAAAAAGGCAAAATGCCCTGTTTTCCTCAGGATACATAACAACCCTGATCTTTGCAGTTCACACCAACTGTCAAAATGCTTTAGAACAGAACTAAGACAGAGAAAGAATGAGTTTTTTAAGTGAGACTCAGTGTCTTCATCACCAAAGAAAAACTCTATTGCAGAGAGAAATGAAATTAATTCAGAACTGAAAAAAAAAATAGAGATTTACCTCAAGAAACGGTGACCAGGGTTCCCTTTCCCCAGTAATCAAAGCCATAGTTATGCGTCAACCCAAATGTCAGAAAATGCTGTACTTAATACTCTAAACAGCCATTTGGGATGGGATAAATAATGTAAACTTGAATTATTCTCTTCTCTTCTACTGTCCCTGATTACTGAAGTCCCTTTAAATTCATTCCCCCCTCACATATCTTAGAAAGAAAGAATAAAGTCCCTAAATAATTCTATTTCCTTGAACCATTTTGTAGAGCACAAAGCAAGTTCCATTTTCTCAATTCTTACATTTCTGGCCACTTTAAGATATTGAGAAATCATAGTTCAACAGTTTCATAGAATGGAAAAAAAATACAATTAGAGGGTAGCAATAAAGCAAAGTGGGCAACCAGATTATTTTGATCTCTGAGTTCTGTGGTGGATCAAGTATTGAGTTTTCTCTGAAACAGACTTGCTATTTCCAAAAGTTGTCTTAGACTATCAATAATCACAATCAAAATCATCTTAAATGGGTATATTTGAAGGAAAATAATTATTACCTGATGTAACGGTGACCAGGGTTCCCAGTCCCCAGACGTCGAACCAGTTATCACTCTGGGATATGTTTATGGGACAACGCTACAAGAATCTTCTGTCCCAAATTGCTTAGTTCTTCATTTAAACTGAGTTGATTTTTCAAGTCTATGCATCAATGTGCATTTACATGGAAGCAAACCCTATGGAACTCAGTGGCTCATATTTCAAGTAAACACATACAGAGTCAGTTGGTTGCATTTTTCCCCTTTTTCAGAAGTAGGATTATTAAGAAAGTCTTAACCAACTTCAGATCATAATCTCAAAAATACCTAATTTTATAAGAAGATAAGACTTGCCTCTCTTTCTCTGGGTCGGATTAAAGGCTCACCCATCTCCACTAAAAAAAGACAGTCTTATTACTCTGGAAAAATCCCATTAAACTAAATTGGAGTTACTTTGGAGCAATATTGTGCCACCTTCCCTCAAGTCCTAGGTTTCTCCAATAGAACGGGCAAGGTCCACCAAAAGAGATGACAGACTTTTCAAAGACCTCACTTAGCAAATTAGAAACATTACAGTTTAAACAAACAGTGGGTTTAAAAGGAAATGAAATCGTACCTGCACTGACGACAACCGAGGTTCCTTCTCCCCAGTAGTCAAAGTAGTCACATTGCCTCAACCCTTTCTATGGTATGTACAAAAACCTAACACGAAATCCTTCCATCCAAAGGAACTATGATTATCCCTCAGAAGATGGTTTTAGGGCTCTCCCAGAAATGTAACTTAAGAGGCACTTAAAAAACAACACCCCCATTACACAGACTCACAGAATAAAACCAAATCTTCCTTGTTCAAGACCCTCCCGACAATTAATAAAAACAACAAAACATCTCCTGATGCCTGAAAAACTAAACAATTTACTGTGGTGAAGACTTTGTAGATTTCGTGGTTTAGGCTGTGGTAAACGCTAGCCTTTTAAATGCCAGAAAACGCTTTTGATTTTTGTTCTGACAGAATATGGTGGTTCCTTGTTTAGAATTAGGTGGTTTAATGGGGGGGGGGATTGTCTATTTAGGAATTAATTTCTCTAAGCGCCTGTTTGATCATAAACCGTTGTTGAGTCCTGTACCAGACAAATGTTCTATTAAGTAAACTGAAGTTGCTTTCTAATGGATCAATATTTACTTTAGAATTAATAGGCTGAAAAAGGCAGCTGAAACGGCCACTATGGGTGACGATGTGCCCGTCTGACAATCATTTCGATTTTTAAAAAAATCATGCAAAATTCTAAAAAAGCACACTAGATAGAAGAAGGGAATTTAACTTACCGCTGGTCACTGTAACCATAGTTCCTTGTCCCCAAGAATCGAAAGCATAGTAGTCACAGTGGTGTGAATTTCTACCTCAGATGACTAAAAACGTCGTGATCTTAGACCTCAAGGATCCAGAGGTCACATCTTGATTTTTCCATTCTATGTTACATTTCAGATTGTATTGATGCACCCAACTTTTAATTATTATTAATAAATATCACACCCCCTACATCAGGTAAATTATATCCACCTTGGCCTCAAAGTTCAAGAAGTTAGACACCAAAATCTCCTGGGTTCGTAACAGAAGGAGATTCTGCCCAACAAGGAGACAGGAAAAACCTATCCTCCATGTATATTTAGGACATCAACAAGCATCAGCAAAGATTTAACTGGAAAAGATTTGGATTAGATGTATGAACGCATGGAAATATAGAAGGGAAAATCTTTACCTGGTGTGACGATCACCGAGGTTCCTTGTCCCCAATAATAGAAGTCGTCACATTGATTAATCTATCAATACCATGGGCACAAAAACTGAAAAGCACTGTTCCGTTGTTAAGACTACTGACGTGGTCTTATTGGTTATACTCTCCAACAGATTAAAACAATTTAAACTTTAGTTGGCTAGAGGTGATACAAAATAGATCTTCTTGCTTTTTTTGGTGGAATCTATCTAACATTTTTAGTGAAAATGAACCTACACCGATGTTTATATCTAGTATAATTTGTTCTGAACCAAAACCAAGGCAGCATGAAACATCTTTGTTAGTAGTTATGGTTTTCAGACAAATTGAATTGCTAAAGAATGACATTTCAAGCCAACTTTTCACAGAGTAGAATAAGTAGGATTTTTTTTTACCTGAGGTGACTGTCACGAAGATCCCTTGCCCCCAGAGATCGAAGTAAGCATAGTAGCACACCCCTCAATTCTCTATTAAGAGGTGTGCAAAATCCTTATAGAATTAGTAGTTGGAAAAATCCCATCTAATTGCTAAAGGACCACCTGTCCCTCAACAAGACAGATGGATGTGTCCACCTCCCTCAGTTGACCCATTCTAACCAAGACAAAAATTCCTCAGTCTCAGAAATCACAGTAAGTAGAGTAGTATCTTTGATACTGTATGGCTGACTTTACATTTCATAGGAACGAACCAAATTTCACCTCAAAGTTTAAAGACACCTGGAAGCATCAGCAGAAGAATGGACCAAACCTAATCTTTGGGGAATCCTTTTGAAACAACCTTTCAACAGACAGAAGTAATTAGGGATATATGTCTTACCTGAAGTCACTGTGACCAGGGTTCCTATCCCCCAGTAGTCGAATCTCCAATAGTCACACTAGTTGAGTCACTTTTAGGTGATGTACAAAAAGTGGACCTATCCTTTTCGAATAACGAATTGGAGTACTTTTTAAGAGGGAATGGACAAGTCCAAAGACCTCTGGGAGAACTTACGGAAAAGTAAGGGCATTCCGATTTGTGGTTTAAGCTTCCACGGTTTAAATAACGCCTGTTAGCAAATTTCCTACCATTATCCACTCTGTCGGTTATTATCAGCCTGAGCCACATAAAGGACCAGCAGAGTTTCTCATTTTACCAACATTAAGCAGGAATCCACCACCCAGTTCCTCTAAGATTGTTCTAATGACATAAAACAGATATTCTAGAGTAATTCTAGTTTGGTTCCCTTGTTAAAAAGAAGTTCACTAGGGATTTCTTCAAAGGAAGAAATTCCGGCAACTGGGTCTGAATCCTTCTAAATGTTAGTCAGTAACGGGGAAAGAGACCAACTTTTTCAGAATTTAGGAGAAGAGACTGAAAAATTCTCATTTGCTAGTTGGATACGAGGAAAAACACAACATTTGTGAAATAAAAATGATTACCTGAGGTGACAAGCAGAGAAGTTCCCGATCCCCAGTGATCAAAGCCCCAGTAACACAGAGGTATTTTTGACTAGGACTCTGGCATCAAAACCTATTCTGATTTTTTTTTCTTTTGATTGTGTGTGTGGTTTTAAAAATGCACACATGTTAAGGCTGCTGGTCTAACTGTCACTTAAGAAGGGTCAGAGGCTTGCCTATTTTACTTTTACCGACGAGAAAAGTATTTGAGAAAAATCTCCAAGTAATCGGTTGCCAAACCAAATGGTTCAATAGTGGAGTAGACATCAGTTTTAAGCGACAACTGAATATGTTTTAAGATGTAAGTCTTGGGGAGGTGTCAGCGGAGAAGATAGCCCTTACCAACCATGATCTCAAAGTTACATTTCACAGGGTGTGGAAATCCAAAAATAGCAAGCATGTTCCAATATTAAACAGATTAGAATTTTAAAAGTTTTACCTGCCGTTACGGTCACCATCGTCCCTTGGCCCCAATCGTAAAATGCGTAGCACATTGATAGGGCTCCATGTTTTCTCTGTACAAAATCTCTTTCTTAATAAAGAGTTATCTCTTAACTTACAAACTACGCTACAAGCTCAGTCTCTTATGAACTATTTTAAAGATGATTTTCATCCTGGATCTTAACATTGGTCCCACAGACAAGTTTAGAAGAAGAAAACAGATCTATGACCTCTTCATATGTCATATATCAAAGCCTGAGAGATATCCGTGTCTCCATTACATTTTCTTCTTTGTGATAATTGACGACAATCTAGCCATTCCCAAATACTTCAGGTTCACATTGTAAGAGCTGTATCAATGAGATCTAGCTGGAGAAAAACTCCTTGAGCGCTTCTTACTTTAGTATACAAAGAAACCCTGATATAACATATTTTTTTAATCAAACCTTAGATCTCTTTTACTCTGCGTATCTTTATTTATTTCAGTGGGGATAAAGATTTTAAGTTGTTCACCCACATTAACTAGTAACTCAGGGGGAAAAAAGTCTGATTTTGCACGAGAAAAAAAAAGATATATCAATCGCTACGTACGAACTTGAAATTTCACTCTTTGAAAAGAACTGGCGGTGACATTGGCAAGTGAAGTCCCTTTAGCTAAAATCCACACAAAGTATTCACAAGAAGTCCCCATTGTCATAAGGCATTTCATAAATCTAGACCAGTTATGATCACAGCTGAAATAATCTCCTTACCTGGACTGACGGAAACCATGACGCCTTGTCCCCAGTAATCAAAAGCACCCCAGTAACACAACAATGAATTGTCTAGAGTGGCCTGTTCAAATACTCATGGAAAGGCGTGTCATAAAAAACCCCTCAACATCTGCAGAATTCATGAAGTATGAACTTGATGGAAAAGTGAGGTACTTACCTGAGCTGACGATAACCATGGTGCCTTGTCCCCAGTTATAGAAAGCATTCCAGCCACACAGTAGTTCTTTACCCTTACGGTTAAGCATAAAAATGTGCCCCCAGAAGCTACAGCTGAATCTTTCGATCCTGACCAGATCTGAGTCCCTAGAAAGAATTCCAATGTCACTGCTCCTTTTCTGCTAGTAGGTTCAATGGTTGAAAGTTGGCCAATAGTATGCAGTAGCTGAAATCCTGTTGCTTTGTGTAGTTGTGACTAAAGTAGGCTCATTGAATCAGCAGGGATTTAGTGAGTCAACAGGATTTCAATCATTGGCTGAAATCCTCTTGTTTAACATGCTAAGCCACACTAGAGTAGGGTTATTTTTTCAGCAGGCATCTGGTTGTTGTTGCTTAGTTGTTTAGTTGTGTCCGACTCTTTGTGACCCCATGGACCAGAGCATGCCAGGCCCTCCTGTCTTCCACTGCCTCCCGGAGTTGGGTCAAATTCATATTGGCTGCTTCAATGACACTGTCTAA